AAAATTGCTTCATATCTGTCTTTCTTCCTGTACTATGTCCTTTTATACAACCTTTCTTTTATATATTACCACCACAAAATGAACTACTTCTATGAATTCGTTGTTCATCTTGTTGTGCTAGTGAGGTAATAGCAACTTAAATCGATGCATAAATGTGCCTGGTTCTACGTTGTAGCTGACTGACTGATTATAAAGGATTCTTAGGGTAAAAAACCATTATTACAACAAAATGTGTGCCAAACATCTACTTAGCTTGTGAATATATTTTTTTTTAAACACAAGCGCCAAAAGTCCTGAAATAGTCAGTTACTTAATTCGTAAGCACTATAAGCAGAAATGGATGGTAAATAGCAATGGGATCCAGAATGCTTGTTTCATCCTCTTTGGTATTCGTCAGCTGAACTACCGCTCATATTCACACACCCCGCCAAAAAAAACAAATCTTGCTGACGTCCTCCATGATATCTCCTTTTACTATATATTTGATCTGTGATTCCGATTGCAAATGTAATTTAGATTTTTAATAAATACTTCTTCACTCTGTCTTTTCGTAATATATTTTCAACATTTAGTCACGCTATTATCATTGCTACTAAAACTATATTGATCTTTGTTGATATTCATGTTATGGTGAATTGAATCAAGTTCATTGATAGACTGATAGTTTCTAGATTTGACTTCAATCATCTATCTACTTGGATAACACTAATGAATAATTTTTCTCTTATATAGTTGAGATCATGAGTTAATTGAAGATAGACCACCATGAATAACCTGAAAGCACTGGACGGCCGTTTCGTCCTATTGTGGGACTCCTCAGTGACAGTACACATCCACGATCCCAGCTTGCGAAATTCGAACACAGGAATAATTTTTCCCCAGTAATTTAATAATAATACGTAAAATGTATGAAAAATAGTCGTTCACTTCTAATAAGATTAATTCTCATCGCTAAGATATACATCTTCTTACATTCTTCTTCTTAATTAAGTGGAAAGAAAAAAAACGTTATTTCCTTAAAGGCAAAAATTTCTCTTCATTATTATTTATTGTATATTGACAGTAGAGTTAGACAATAATAATGATCGTAATAATAGCAATAGTTATAATAAAAACATTCTAAATTTTAAGTAGCACTTGGGTTCGAATCCCGTGAGACGGGATCGTGGATGCGCACTGTCACTGAGGTGTCCCATGATAGGACGAAATGACTGTTCAGTGCTTTCAGGTTTTCCATGGTGGTTTAGCTTCAATTGACTCATGATCTCAACTATATATATATAAATTTGAAGTAGTTTATATGTATTTTCATAGTTGAAATCATGAGTCGCTCAAAATCGTGGATTGGTTGAAGTTAGACATTAACACCGTTGGATGTCGGCCAGCTCAGTGGTCTATCGGTTAAGGGTTCTGGAGCGAGACTGATAGGTTCTGGGTTCGAATCTCGTGAGTTCGGGATCGTGAATGCGCACTGTTGAGGAGTCCCACAATAGGACAAAACGGCCATCCACTGCTTCCAGGTTATACATAGTGGTCTAGCTTCAATTGACTCATGATTTCAACTATGAAAATACTAAATTCTCCACAAAACCCCCCATTAGTTTCTATGTATTCAATGTTCAAAAAATTGTTTAATATAAACAAAAACCATGATTCAATCAATTTACTTATAATTTAATGTGTATCAAAAAAAAAAAAAATTGACTTTGCACGTAACAATCTAATTTATTATAATACACAGGAAAACTTGAATAATAATGATAATTACTATTATCATTATTATCAGTCAGTCAGTCAGTCAGGTACAACGTAAGACCAGGTACATATATCCATCGATCCAAGTTGCCATTACCTCATTAGGACAAGATGAACATCGAATCAATAGAAGTAGTTCATTGAATGGCGGTAATATATATATTAAAGAAAGATCGTATATATAGTACAGGAAGAAAGAATTAGTTCGTTGAAAGATATAAAGCAAATTTGATCTCATAGTTTAAGCGAAGGCAGAGAGTGTATACACCTACACCATTGTGATCGATTCTGAGCAATGTCACACAGTCTCCAACCATTGGTTATGATAGTCAGGTGAACCCTAACCAAGTAGTCTGCATCTACCAATATGGCTCAGACTAGAAGTTAGTGACTTCAAGCACTGATGTGACGATATGGTTTGGCTGCCCGTAACTCTCTTCCAACCATCTGAAATATTAGTCAGCATTGCGTGTCGTTGTAATCAGTGTTCAGGTATACATAACACGTGGTCCAACCATCTCAGTCGACGAAGATTCATCACCTCATCAACTGATTTACCATCATCATTCCTGAATATCCTGGTGCCTAACCTCACTATTACTTACCCGGTGATCCCAGCAGATGCGAGCAATATTTCTAAGACATCTGTGGTCAAATATTAGTAACTTACGAGTATCTTCTACTCTTAGTGGCCACGTTTCGCAGTCGTAAAGTACAACACAGCAGAAATAGATAATGGCTAGCAATGAAATCGAGTATGTATATTCAGCTGATAAATCCCGGTCAGGACGAAACTAGCGTCCTGGATTCCACTGCTAGCTACTATCTATCTCTGCTTATAATGCTTGTGAATTTAAGCTATATCGAGGCAATACGCACGGTAGTCACATATTCCAATTAGAGACTAACCAGTTGCAGTCCTAAAAAACATCAATGGGAAGATCCAAACAAACAATACTAAGTAAATTACCAAACTTCGTTAATACAAGTCACTGATTTATCTTCAATGAGTCTGACCATGTTACTAATCAATTAAAAATGCAACTCATTCAGGCTATGGATCAATGTAACCTAATATCTATGTGAACTTAGGTGTACTAAGGTTTTGTGTCAATCTTTTTTCTGTCTTCATTCATACACATTCGTGTGTATAGTTTTCCGAAATAGAGGAATTTTGTTGTTGTTATTTCAGCTAAAAAACTTACTCTTGCATACTGTCGTTATTTAGATCACCGTACTAGTTAATTAAAAGGAATTAGGTTTCCTTTGTTGATCGATGGAGAATAGTTAAATCTAGAAAGGCATTAGAAAGTGATATGTAGCTAGTGAAACTAAGATGTAACTAGCCATTGAACATGGACAAACAGACACTCAACTCACTGACTATTTAGTGTGATTTCCTCTCCATTATTGATTTCTACTCTGAACTCACTGAACGTAGACTACTTGTAATTTTGTTAAATACGCTGGTTACCTATTTTTGGTTGCTAATCGTGTATATGATATAACATGATCCAGTATGTACATAATGTATCGATAGAGTATCTAGACTAGTGGCAGAATCATCTCATCCGCCAATTGTATTATTAAGATAACTCCGAAATTCCGCTTAACATTCTGATTTGAGCTTCTTCAGGGAAATGACTGAACGTCAAAATAATGGAACACAAATAGAGTTCACAGATTAAATGTTATGTGATGAACAGTTAAGCCGTTTGACACAACACAAATTTACACTTATGTACTCTTATTTTTTATGTATGCTGTGATAAGCTTGATTTATAACCTGTCAGAAAGTGTAATTTCCCCACTTAACTTAACCTGGGGACATATATATATCAGTGATTCTCCACACATCAGATCATCAGAGAAATACAGACACCATTTAACTTACCGTAATATCTGCACATTCCACATTAAATGATTCATATTCACATTACAACAAAATCTATATTCGACATTATGAACGTGATTAGACAATTTATTTTTGTTGATAATGTTAAATTCCCAGAACTTACTTGGTAAATGGCCTAATTATGTAATTTTATTTTGAAAATTTGAATTTCTTTGTTTTCGCGCCAAAAGCGCTCTTTTCATCTTCGGGTCGAATTTCCCAATTGTAAAATATCTTAAACGCTATTAGTCCGTTGCATATTTTTAGTGTACTATTTTGTAATGCTGCCAAAGGACAATTTATTGCTGTATATATAGGTTTGATTTTTTTCCCCTTACGATTGCTTCTGGCTGCTACGGAATATATTTTCCCCGCTTCCAACTAGGACTTCTTACTCTAGTTAGCTGAGTCTGAAACGCGTCAGAATAGCTAGCTTATCGGTCTCTGGTCAAAAGTCTTTGTCCCGTTCACTGACTAGTGAATTCGAAACGCTTCAGATATGATAATTTTATGCACAGTTAATCTACAAATTCTGTTTATAGTTGATAACTTAAATGTCTGGTTATTTTCCTGAAGATTGAATTAGAATTTCAAATGAAACACTGGAGTTCACTTAGTATTGTTTGATTGAATCTTCTCATTGATGTTTGGAACTGCAACTGGTCATTCTCTTATTGGCCATATGTGCATACTGTGTGTATTGCCTCGATATTGCCTTAATTCATAAGCATTAATGGGAAGATTCAAACAAACAATACTAAGTGAATCAAAACTTCACCCCATTGCATAAGCAAGTGGCTATCAGGACTCAGTTGCTGGATGGATAACGTGATATTGTTTGACGCAAAAGGTTCTGGATTCGAGTCCCAAAGTGAACATCAACTCTGAGATGCAGGTACATCCAGTTGACGAATCCTAAATAGGATGAGACGCCCCCCCCCGGGATTCCACTGCTAGCCACTACCTTTGTTTAGAAACACTGGAGTTATTTTGATTTTTACAAATATAGTTTGCTTTTCAATATTTTAGATTAACTCAGTACCCAATTATTATGAAACTATCAGAAAGGGGTTTTGTGTAGATTTTAGTAATTTTTTTATGGTTGAAATCATGAGTCAATTGGAGCCAGACCACCATGGAAACTATTTGTTAAAATTTACACGAATGTTTTTACGATCATTTTAACGATCAATGAAAACTTAAAAAAACACCGGACGACTGTTTTTTGCTAATATGAAATACCTCAAAAACGTATATCTGCAACACTACCAACAGGGATCAAACTCAGGAACTCTGGTCGGTTTCGTAGACGAACGCTTAACCTAACCTTGTACTAGATAAACAACAATCTTAAACTTGTAAAACAATACTTTATTAATTTTATTTATATGATGACAAGATGTCACTGTTTCTATTTATGTATGAATTATAAAGTAGAATTATTCGTTTTTTGCAAATACAGAAAGAGAGTGTGATAGAGAGAGAAAGAGAATTGAGTGAATGAATGAGAAGGCAAAGTAGGAACATTGTATTCAATCTTCTCTTGCAAATGAATGAAAAATTAAAAAAAAAAATAGTTGACAACAGAAAAAACGAATCAAAAAAATCAATCAAACGAACGAATGAACTGAAGAACAGGATTCATCACATACTTCAAAAAATAAATCATTGTCTCCATTCACCTCCTCTGAAAGCAGAATGAAAAAATACACACAAAAAACTGTGTAATAATCGGTAAACAAGATGATGGTTACTTTGAGAAGAAGAAGACGAAGAAGATGAATTGATTAACATTTAAATATACACACATTATTTCATTAAAAGTTATAACAGCAGAACGTTAATTACTACTAACAAAAGAGCAGTAGTAGTATTGAATCATTTTTTTCAAATGGAAAACAGGAAAATCAATGACCGAAACTATGAACACACCGATCACAATAATAATAACACTAATCAAATCAAATGTAAAATGAATTGTCAACAAAAAAAGGCGCATCCAACTATATAAAGCAACACACTTCATGAAACAAGTAATTGAATAGTGCTTTTTCTTCGCAGTAGTTAAGGTAAGAGGTGTGGGGGGGAGGTAATGAAAAACAATACAGACCATCATTGCCAAAAAAATAATAAATACACAGCAGTAACAACACCAACAAAACATGATAGACGATATTGTTTTGATCATTAAAAGTTTATACAAATCATTCAAACATATCTGATCTATCTGATAAATAAACATAGTCATTATCAATGTAATAATCGGAATTTTTTTGTATATTTGATTCTGCTTGTCTTAGGCCTGTTATGTTATACACATAGACAGAGAGGGAGAGAGAAAAAAAGAATTGACGAAGGAACAAACTGAAACGACGGAATCGATTTCAGAGGCATTCATGCATGTATGCATATGCATAGATATATCTATCTACCTATCTACCTGTATCAGGGTTTTACAACAGAAAAATACATTCAAGAATAGAATAGGAAAATCTGAACGCATTTACATAATGATATAGTCAGATAGAGGTATACACAATAGCATCAAGATGAATGAATAGTGAGAAGAATTTGTTTACTTCATGTTTAAAATCACTCACTTCCTTTATGTATACAGTTTATATATATATAAAAATGTGTAATGACCGATGAGTAAAAGAAAAACCCAGAGCAGTAATGGTAACCATGGTTTATTCCATGTTTTATTGTATTCCAATCAATGACGACAATGATCTATAAGCTCTTCTAATAAAAAATAATATCTGTCAATTATAATCAATCATCATCATCTCATGTTTCACACACACACACACACACACAAATGAAAGAAAATAAACAAATATGAATGAGCTCTTTCTTCATTTTAAAAAAAGGTGTATGTGTGCATATATGTATATATATATATCATGTAAACAAGTCAGCAGTGCTCAAAACAGCAGTATCATTCCATATGAGAAGAATTGAAGAAAAAGAAAAAATAGAAGAAAAAATAGAGAAAAAGCGGAAGAAAAAACCATCAACAATGAGGCACATATTTTCAATATTATAATAATCATCTACTTTGTTTTGTATAACATATTCTGACAACAACAACGATGATGATGATGATGATGACGACGACGACAACAACAACAACAGGAATAAGTCGAAATAACTGATTGACAAAAACAATGAAAGAGAAGAATGAAAATTTTTTATCTTTTGTAAAGGGGGGAAGAGGGTGTGATCAATTCGTTTAATATTTCTCTTTATGAATTCATTTATGTTCAATATGAATGAACAATGAGTAGTATAATTAGTAATATAAATAAATAAAACAAAAGAAAAGGACCAACGAACTCTCTTCTCATTTCCATGAAATTGTTACATAATCGGCAACAACAACAACGACCAAAAATTGGTGATAGACATACAAACATATCGACTAAAAAAAAAGAAACAAAAAAAGAAAGCAGACACACAATGCACGCGCGCACATACGCACGCAAACTAAGGCATAGTTCTTACAGACCTACACATAAATACATGTTAAAATAGAAGAAGATACTCAAGAATTTACAGTCTGTATTGATAACGGATTCGATTACTTGTCCGAAAATAATTACACATGGGTAATGAGAGGAAAAAAGAGAGAGGGGGGAGAGAGAAAGGAAAGGGGGAAAATGGATCGAAATCAAGCTTAAATGATAAGTATATTATATGTTGACCATAGAGTAAAAAAATTCAACATACGACACATACATATACATTGAATACAGACTATAATATACAGTATCATTTTTATCAAAATAACAGTATTGATAAGATAGAGAAGAAGAAGAAGAAGAAGAAGAAGAAGAAGAAGAAGAAGAAAGAGAGATAAGAAGACAATGTATAACATGGATTGCACAGTTGTATTCCAGTACTTCAATAATTCAACAATTCATTCATGTAATCCATTGGTCCCTTCTAGCTTTTTTCAACAAATTAAAAAACAAAAGAAAAAAAAAGTTTAAACAATATGAATGTCAACGTGTATGTCTGTAAAGGTGTACACCTGCTGCACATGTATATAAGTATTTTTCTGAATAAATTTTAAAAATTTGCATCCCATCCTGATAATTCATCTGGAGCTTCTTGTTCATCCATTGTGAAACGATCAAAATTTGAATGATCCAATGGTCCATTCAACTATGAATTAGATTTGAGAGAAGAAGGAAAAAAAGAAGATACATATGGATAAAAACAAGAAGATTATACTACTAAAAATAATTACGATAAAATACTGCATAATCATGTAAGGAATTCAGCCAAACCAACAAAGATAACGGATCAACTTAAGGACTAATCAATGATGAAGATTTAATGCTCAAGTGGATGATATGGGTGAAGTTTTGTTTTGAATGTTGAGTTTTGATTGAGATCATGAATGGATCTATTGAAAATGTGGAAGCACTGGACAGTCATTTCGTTTTAGTATGAAAACTCCTACTTAGTTGTGCGCATCCACGAGCTTGCACGTGGGATTCCAACCCAGGACTTTCGGTCTCGCACGCGAACATTTAACCTCTGGACCACTAAGCTGGAATCCAATGGTGGTCTAGCATCGACCAGTTTATGATATCAAACTGAAATCAACAATCTTCACAAACATATACCGATAATTATCATGTGTTCACTAGTGACTAGCTCCAAGATGGATTTCTTGGAGTTCTAGCGAGAAGCTGTGACCAATGGAGTTCAAAAGTGTCGTGTGTGAGGCACTTACCCATTGAAGACAATGGAAGATAGTCGCGCAATATCATGGATTGGTTGAAGTTAGACATTAACACCGTTGAATGCCGGTTTAGTAGTCTAGAGGTTAAGCGTTCGCGAGCGAAATCGAAGGTCCTGAATTTCAATCCCCCGTGGGGAATCTTGGATGTGCACTGTTAAGGAGTCCCATGCTATAACGAAACTGCCGTCCAGTGTTTCCACGTTTTCAGTGTTAGTCTGACACTGATCCATTAATCATCTCTAACAAAATTATAAGTATAAACTTCAGATAAAAGTAAGGTATTTGAAACTCTTCATAAATAACTGATAGATTTTCCTGTCGATCACGATATTAATTGGTTATTGCTGATTTTTAACTTGTCATTATCTGAATTTATTCTGATTATCTCTGCATTTGACTAGATTCTTGGTTCACGATTTCTCTAATTTATCGACAAATTGGATCTAATTTGATGTGATTATTTATCGATGATTGACCTGGGTTCCAAGCTTCTATAAGTTCTCCAGTCTTCCGTGTATCCCCTCTATCTGAAAATTCGGCATTTTCAAAGCGGAACGTATCTCCTCGATTGCTTATTAGCAATGATATAAGTGAAGGTACATCATGGAGTTTGAAGGCTAGTTGGTGTTCATGAAGACAAAGATGAGAAAGTGTATAGTTTGTTCGATGCGATGTTTTTTGAAGTTTTAATTGTTGTGTTTTCAAGTGATGCTTACCTATTTTGTTATTTTATCCTTTGGTTTGATTGGCAAAACATAGCTAGTTTATGAACTACATCTATCCCAATTTCAATAATCTTGTTGTAATTCCCGATACATCCTTTATATAGAGTCACATAATAGGACGAAACGGCCGTCCAGTGCTTCCAGGTTTTCGATGGTGGTCTAGCTTCAATTGACTCATGATTTCAACTGTGAAAATACTAAATTCTTCACAAAAACCCCCTCTGATCTATAATCATATGCTCACTAGTGATTGACTTCAAGAGATATTTCCTTGAGTTCTAGTGGGAAGCAGTGGCCAGTGGAGTTCTATCAAGTCTGTTGTAAAGATATCAGCTCACTGAAGACAGTTGGTGAACGGTCGCTCAAACATCGTGGATTGGTTAAAGTTAGACATTAACACCGTTGGATGCCGACCAGCTCTGTGGTCTATCGGTTAAGTGTGAGACTGATAGGTCCTGGGTTGGAATCTCGTGAGTCGGGATCGTGGATATGTACCGCTGAGGAGTCCCATAATAGGACGAAACGGCCGTCCAATGCTTCCAGGTTTTCCATGGTTTTCTAGTTTAAATTGACTAATGATTTCAACTGTGAAAATACTAAATTCTCCACAAAACCCCCTCTCATTTACATTTTGATATATTTTGATGATATTTCATATGAATCTACCTACAAATTTGCAAAACACTGGTCACTGGAACACTTGAAAACAAAAAAATTTTCTTTTGTATCAATCAATTAAACGTATTAGTATCTAAGGTATCTTATGACAATAAATGACATTCAAAACAGCTCTGGCATGAAAATACAGACATGATTTTTCCAGAAACAACAACAACAATCGTCTCACTCAATCACTCTCACTTTCTCTCTTACACACATCTGAAATAAATGAGAATAATCAAAATATAAAAGTACGATCAAACAAATTCGTCTACTTTCTGTATGAAAAGTGTGTGTGTGTGCGTACGATAGAGTATCTGAGCATTGAAATAGTGACAATTGTAACATTCTTCCAAAACATTTCCATTTTGTTTTTAGCTTCATAGAAGCATTCATTAATGATTATAAAGTAGGGAACATAGACAACATTGTGATGAACAAAAACAATATAGTAATAACAATAATAATCGGATAATGACAGTATTTGACAACACATAAGCTTACTTTAACTCTGAATGGAGTAGTCAATGTTTGTTTAACTATACCAGCCCAATCAAATCCTTGAAAATATCTAGAAAAGAGAGGAATAGAGAATTTGAAATGATCATGAATAATCATTAGTATAAGTTATGATTATTGTTTTTGTTATGTTCTTATGGTCAGAAACAATGATGCATAAGCCAGTATGAGCAGTCTAGAGTCAATTTTGAGTTCTTATTGGTTCGCTGAGAAAGTGGCTTCTTGCCTAAATCAGCCGGTTTAGCCCGAAACACCGATTATCAGCCTTCGATATATAAATCATATATTTCAAACATACACAGTTTATGTGCAAACCAACCAGACTACAACACACCATAAATAAGAAATAACAATTATACAAGATTAAGATGAAAATGGCTGTGATTGTGATAGACTGTAACTAATATATTGAGAATAATTTAAGAATAGTAAAAGGTCAAATGAAAGCTTATTATAAAAGGAATATGAGTATACACATAATCTAATTACTTAATAGTTATATATAATAACAGTTCATAAATGGATCCTAGAGGTTACTATCCACTTATTCTTCGTTCAGATATAACAGTTTTATTGTCATAATTTTATATAGTTGAAATTATGAATCAATTGAAGCTAGACCACCATAGAAAACCTGGAAGCACTGGACGGCCGTTTCGTCCTATTGTGGGACTCCTCAGCAGTGCGCATCCACGATCTCGCCTCGCGAGATTCAAACCCCGGACCTATCAGTCTCGCGCCAGAGCACTTAACCGATAGACCGATAGTCCAGTGCTTCCATGGTGGTCTAGTCATGATCTCAACTATATAAAATTACTAAAATCTCCAAAAAAAACCCTTCTGATATTGTCATAATAACAGATCAGAAACATTTACAATTTACTAAAGAAAGAAAATTAGTAACTGCCTTTAAAAATACTTGTTCACAGTTAATAAGACATTTGTCTTTTCAAGTTAGCCCATATCGATGTGAATATCTCTTTTGTAAGACACGTTATATTGACCGCATAAATCAAGTACTTACTAAATGCATCACAAAACATTAACTGGTATGGTATTTAAGAAAGGAATGCAAAAACAATCAATAGCTCAGTAGATGAGCACACATCTAAATCAACTTTAAGTAAGTTTCTCCAAACGAATTATCCTTCAAAATAATCTATATGATAAAAAGAAATAGGACCAAAACGGAAGTCGAATTAAAAGCTTATGCATATGCTAAGGTGCTGGCAATTCATAAATTAAAGCAATGCTTTCATGAACCTAATGTACTTTTCCAGTATGTTTTCATCTCAGAAGGGTTTTTGTGGAGATCTCAGTAATTTTAAAGTTGAAATCATGAGTCGATTGAAGCTAGACCACCATCGAAAACCTGGAAGAACTGGACGACCGTTTCGTCTTATTGTGAGACTGTCAGCAGTGCGCATCCACGATCCCGCACTCGCGAGATTCGAATCCAGGACCTAGCAGTCTCGCGCCAGATCACTTAACCGATAGACCACAGAGCAGGTCGGCATCTAACAGTGTTAATGTCTAACTTCAACTAATCCACGAAGTTGAGCAACCGTTCACCATTGTCTTCAGTGAGTTGATATCTCTTTTTCGTTTTGTTTGTTTCCATGATTATTTTGTACTTCTTTTAAACTGTAGTCAGCTATTATTGTCCTCAAACAAATTATTATTATATTATTCAATGGTTAATGATGACATTTATGTTTCTTAATTATTAATCTTCATATCTATGAAACGAACTATTTATTTGTTAAATTTCTGACCCATACATTATTCTTCATTCCTTTATTTTCTATTTAACCTATCGATCATTACGTAATCTTCTCTAGATTTTAGAAATCTCAGATCAGTTCTATTATTTAGTCCCTTTCACACAGTTGAACTCATGAGTCAATCTAAGCTAGACCAACAATGAAAACTTGGAAGCAATGGACGACTGTTTCGTCATAGTATGGGACTCCTACTTCTGGTGAATTCAACTGTGACATTACTACAACCTTCACCCCCCATACTGATAACAATCTCGTTTCATCCTTTTATAGACAATTATAAACATAAATCTTCCAACGCTGGTGAACCACGATTAGTGTTTTCTTTGCGCCCAATGGTGACATCGAGGCTAAAAGGTAAAATACTTAGAATAATCACTTCATTTTGTATTTATCAGTTCTACTGCTCCTGTGGAGCAAGTTATATTGGTCGAAGTTCTAGGAATTTAAATCTTCGTGCTCGCGAACATCTCCCAGAGCGGCTAAACAAAGGTTTAGTGAAGAAAGTGAACAGCTCGATATAGGCCGACTCAGTACAAACTGGTCATAGTTCCAGTATAAATCAATTCTTTTCGATTATTTATAGAGTCAGTAATCTTTTGCCAAAGCTTGTCAGACTTAAAGTCCTACAAACAGCCGAAGTTGTAGCCATCCAAATGAAGAAACCGTAGCTATGCGTACAAAAAAACATTTCCAACCACTTCTCCCCTGGCAAACCACAAAGCCAATTAATCAATAGTAATCTTAGCTATTGTATGACCTAATTTGACTATTGTACTTACGACTTTTCGTAGTCAAATGTAATTGTCCCTCTTATCTTTATTTACAAATCTTTATATTATTATTATTACAAATACTTAAACCTCATTATTAATCTCCCCTATACATGATTCATTCACTTCGCATTCATCCCTCCTTATTAAGTATTACTAATTTTTCACACAATATAGTCTTCCATTAAGCATTTGATGGAATTGTAATTGCACTATCATATCTCTCTCACTCTGTCTGACCCATATTTATTATGATCATGGATCTTAAATTAGCACCGTTAACCTTCTATATGATATATAACAACATTAACAATTTTAAATTTATTTAGTGTTGTTTGTTTGAATCTTCCCATCGATGTGTTAGGAGTGCAACTGGTCAGTCTGTAATTGGCATATGTGCATACTGTGCGTACTGCCTCGATATAGCCTTAATTCACAAGCATTGTAAGCAGAGATGGATAGTGGCTAGCAGTGGAATCCAGTTTGACGCGCGTTTCGTCCTATTTAGGACTCCTCAACCACTATCCATCTTTGCTTACAATGTTTGTGAATTTAGGCTATATCGAGGCAATACGCACAGTATGCACATATGCCAATTACAGACTGACCAGTTACAGTCCTTAACATCAATGGGAAGATTCAAACAAACAATACCAAGTGAATTTAAACAAGTAAATAGTACTTTTCTGTCAAATTCCATGTAAAGTTGGTAATTAACATGGGAGATTGTTTACTATGTAATTTGAACTAACTTCATCCAGACAATTATCTCAAACTAGAGAGCATTGTTTCATCTTAATATGAACCTCACCGCTCTCCACCCACTACCTCTCTTCACAGCGATAAAACTCAGTACTCTTGAGTTTCATCATTTCAGCCGAATCACTTTGGGACCACTAAGTTGTAATCAAATACAATCTAGATCTTCAATATTAATCTGAAATATGTCAAATTACTTTTATAACACCAATAATGAGAGTAATAATCTCATAATCATTACTTACTTGTGACTACGTATTTCTTGTATTCCATATTTACCAACACCTAATCTTTCGGATGAATTAAATCGGCATAATCGTCGAATAAATTGTAAAGCTTTTAAACTGATATATTTGTTTTGTGCTAAACCCAAAGCATCTATACCTTTCAATGTTTTCATATAGATTTTAATTGGTTCTGATGCTTGAAACGGTGGACTAAATGTTGAGTGTACAGAGTTGATATTGGGTATATGGAAGAGTATACAGATGGGAGAAGGAAAAAAATTGAAGGGTTGAACATGAATAATTTGTACCAAAAAAACTCAATACATCTTATTCAATAAACATAGAAACAATATGACCATAAATATCACATGTTACACCTTAATTTCAATCAGAGCTGCTCCATGATAATACCATTCCAGTGAAACATTGGGCATTTCGAGAGTGCAAATCCTATAAGAAGTATACATTCCTTTAAGATTTCAACCAATCTTTATTGACGAGTACAAACTAGCATTAAACATACATTAAATAAAGATTCATGTGAATTGTCCCTATAACCATAAACTTGCATCAAAACATAAGGTATAAGCGATGTTAAATCATTTACACATGACTATTGGCTATATTACAACCTGATTGGTAGAATTCAGTCACTGATAAGAACTAGATAAACATGACCTTGATTCCTCATCAGCTGATGAATCAATGGAATAGTAATGATGGATAAAGAAGTGAAATTCTCAATTCGAAATCCATCTCAACAATTTGTAAGTTTAACCAAATGAGTTGTATCGAACACGAATTTGTTTCACAATCAGTTAGCTGGCTAATGGATTTTTATCGATTTTAATTCAACACAACCCCTCCCACCCTACTAATCGAAATTTTGTGTGCAATTACTTTATCAGTTACAAAAAAACAAATATTCATTAATCATAATTGTTTCTAGGATTTTACCCATCGGCTGTTCAGTTCTGTTAACTGACTATAATTTCTATAGTGCAAAAATCGTCAACTAAAATGACTTCAATTTCAAAATAGTATTTTCACAGTTGATATCGTGAGTCGATCAAAGCTAGACCACCATTGAAAACCTGGAAGCACTAGAAGGCCATTTCGTTCTAGTATGAGACTCCTCAGAAATGAGCATTCACGATCCCGCACGCAGGATTCAAACCCACGACTTTAGGTCTCGTATGTAAACGCCAAACTTTTAGAACACTGAGTAGGCATCTGACGGTATTAATGTCTAACTTCAATCAATCCATGATCTTGCACAAGTGTTCATCTACTGCCTGAAGTGGTTAAGCGTTCACATGAGAACCTGAAAGTCCTAGATTCGAGTCTCGCATGAGGGATAGTGGATCCGCACTGCTGAGGAGTCCCATATTAAGAAGAAATAGTAGGCTAGTGCTGCCAGGCTTTTAATGATGGTCTAGCTAAGATCGACTAGTGATTTCAAATAAGGAAATACTAAAATCTCCACAAATCCCCATATTGTTAAAAAGAGTAAATTGAAAAATGATTAGTTAACAGTTCATGCTCTTATAGTTCGTTTAAATTAGGTAATCTAAGATAGAACTGCTAACAATATCTCTTGTTGTGAGATGTCCTATTCTGATATTTATACACAAGCTTCCTACGCGCAAGCCCAACCGGCTACTTGAATGAGAAGATTGAGACTGAGAAAAATTATCGGCCAAACCGAATTAAGAGATATCTGTACACCCATTTAGATACATATTTATCACTTAAACATCTAAGCTACATGCTCAATCAATAGCATGTATCTCTTGGGTAGTAGCGTGAGCTTATCATTGGATCAAATTCCGATTAGTTTACTATATCACAATCTCAATTATACTTTTGCTTCGCCAATACTAGATGTTCACAAGCGTTAAAATATCGATTCTCAAAATATTGACCTATAGAAAGTGTTACAACAACGATCATGATACATAGAGCATTTGAATAATTCACCTTATCCGCCCAGTCAACTATATTATCAAAGTACTGAATTTGTTCAAGTTCCTTTTTATGAATACATCTGATTCACATTCTATGCATATCATGAATAAAAGAGGATTATCCCATTTTTCACTCTTCATTATATCATATATGTAAGGATGGCTCGTTGGCAAACTCAAGCAAGCCTCAAGAAGCTCAGAAAGAGCCAAAGACATTCCATCCAATCACCGCTAGAGGAACATTCTGGAATGCCGACGTGTAGCCCACCCTATTGGATGAATAAGAAGGCCCCCCCTACGTGCCTATTGGCTGTCCGAAATGATGATTTACTTTCAGTCAAAAAAACTATAAATAGATGATATTTTTGTACTAGATTTGACACTGTTTGGAATAACATTCCTTCTACTTGTCTTTTGTCTTCTGACTTGGGAGGGTTCTAGCATTTGAGAGCTCAAGTATTACGTGACATACTAAAAATCTAAGTTCGAGATAAAACAATGTATGAATTTAAATGAATAAACTGTAAAACTTCGGCAAAGATTGGCATAAGAATGAATAGTTTAGCTTTTTTTGATAGGTTTTTATTACAACACACCGATACAATGAATTTCTTATCCAATTACAAAATCCCTCTTCAATAAACCAATATTATTATTGACGAAAGAAAACGTATCAAGACAGAATGCGTAGTCATTTTTCTTCTCTACTTAAGATTAAACAAAGAAGTTTACAGCAGAAATGAACGAATCAGGACATCATTGTGATCTGTAAGTTATCTCTGTATATATTGATCATTCTGATATTGTAACTATGATATCTGTACTTCTTTATAGTTAAACTAAGTAATGTATTATCTAGGCTGTTGCTATCCAATCATCGTTTTTCTATTAAAATTCAACTAACCCATTCATTTATGCACCAACGACCTCAAGTACCACGGTAACAATAAAAACAACAAGAGAGGAGGGGATGTTACAAACAACAACAACAACAACACACAAAGAAATTGTATATTTGCTTTGTTAATGTTTATTACACAACAACATACTCACTACTTTACTTTAATTTTCCATAACATTGAAAAACTTTTACTGATAATGTTAATCATAACGGAAATAAAAGTCATAATGCTCCTAAACATGGACATATTATATGTGTATATATATGCTGTATGTATTTATACTGCTTGACTGACTTATGAAAGTCATTTTCAAGTTCATACAACAACGTAATAAAAGAATGTGACAATAATCATATGACTTGGATATTATCATTATTGCTTATTTTTATTACAACTATTATTAATATCGTGAGCAAAGATAGATAATGGCTAGCAGTGGAATCCAGTTCGACGCGCGTTTCGTCCTATTTGGGACTCGTTAGCTGGATGCACCTGCATCTCAAAGTTGATGTTCACTCTGGGCCTCGAACCCAATACCTTTCACTTCAAACGCCATCGCGTTATCCACTCGGTCACTGAGTCCTGATAGACACTTGCTTGTGCAATGGGGGGGGTGAAGTTGAAATTTACTTAGTATTGTTTGTTTGAATCTTCTCATTGATGTTTAGGACTGATCAGTTGATCAGTTTCTTATTAGTTTATCAGGGTTCGGTAGCTAAGTTGATAATGTAATGATGTTTGAAGCGGACAGTACTGGTTTCGAGTCCCAGAGTGAACATCAACTCTGAGATGCAGGTGCATCCAGCTGACGAGTCCCAAATAGGATGAAAAGTGCGTCCTGTATTCCACTGCTAGCCACTGTCCATCTCTGCTTAACATGTTTGTGAATTTAGGCCATATCGAGGCAATACGCACAGTATGCACATATGCCAATTACAGACTGACCAGTTGCAGTCCTAAAAACATCAATGGGAAACTCCAAACAAACAATACTAAGTAAATATTATTACTATCGTCTAAGTGAATGCTTGAAGGTAATCGACAAGAAATCCTGCTTCGCCTAGGTTTTGTGCTATTTGGAATTCATCAGAAAGACGTACCTGTAATTGCAAAGGAAATGATGCCCAATCACCTGGCTTCATAACCATAAACATTAGCACTGAATTTTTCGGACCAAGACTGACTTCTTGTAAAATTGGTGAATCATTGGGGACTGATCAATGCCAAGTCCTTTTAAGTGCTGATCGAACCCTAGCAACCACATGAAGCTGTGTGACACGGGATCGGCTCCACTAGGGAGCAAGAGTCTTATTAAGATTGCAGGTGTAGTGAACAGAACACTAGTTGGGGACAACCGAATGCATTTAAGCAAAATTACAGACTATCTCAGTAAATTCTGAAAACCATACAATGAACAGTCAATTTGCAAATTAACAACCAATTGTTTCAATCTTCACTGTTTCTTCTCTAATTCCACTGCTCATGCATTTTCCAAACGATTGCGCTTCATTTCAGTTCTTTCCTCATCGGTCTTCTGCCAAAATACATTCTACGTCTGACCCACACCATATACTACTTATATGGATATAAGTAGACCACACCACACAGGTACACCTTACTGATGAGTGCCAAATTGCACAACATCTAGGCGATGCAGGGTTTTCTGTCGACTCTAATCACCAACTAACAACATAGTACATGCAGTGTCAAGTCACTTGGACTAATAGTACTGGTCACACTGAAATTTGATCGATAAAATTCAATCTATATTGAGAAGGACTTTACATAAATCATATTGGTCACTAAGGTCAATCGGTTACAAACTATCTTTATGTTTCTGATTTTCTTGTTTGTGTCATAATTTTTGATAATATTTAAGGTCTGCAACTGGAACGCTTATTACTGACTTTCTATGATCCCAGATGACCTCTACAGTTCAAATTGAATTATAGAGAAAAAGGCGTGAAATGTGAGTAAGAATTTTATTCTCAATTCGTTATGTTCAACGAACTCGAGTGTGTTTATGAAGTTTCATGCGAAATTGCTCTCGTGAAACATTTTGGAAGCACGTTAAACATAGTAACGATATAGGTAATTATCCAATCAAAACGCTACATATAATCCTTCATTTATCTAGGTGTTTTGGAGAAGCTTCTATTCAATGTTGATTGGATAAAACATTTTCAGGCTTCTTTTGGGCCTCTAGAGTTTTTGGTAAAGGATTTCTTTGAAGTCCCCAACAGATAATAATAAGAGTTAACTTCATGTTTAATTTAAGGTTATGAAATGTGACCTTTAAAGGCAGACACCATTTGTTGGATTACTACTACTAGGATTTGATCATATATGTCTTCCAAGCATTCCTTACATTTGATAGAACTACAGAGTAAGTGAGCAATGCTCATATTAGGCTTAAAGTACCAATTAAAAACTATAAATAAGTTTATGCTGATATGAGTCTATCATTGGCTGAGGTAGCTAAGCTCTATGTCACTTATACTTATCCATAGCTTACCTTGACGCACAATACTAACAGGAGTAGAATGGAATAAAGTCAGAAGTGTTCAAACTAAGGTGTGGCATCAATAAGTGACTGTTGATCTGACTCATATTGACAGCTGTCCACTATTCACCTGGTTAGAGTTTGTACAGTAGTCGTGATAAATGGTTGAAGAGTTTAAGATTACATAACTCCAATGCAGTCCACATTGGCGTAGATGTATTCATTCATTATCTTCATCAATATATTTTTCTTTTAAGCATCATTGCATAGTTTATATCTTACAGATTCATCCCTTCTTCTCTTGAAATATAATATCCAAAAATAATTATTATTATCAGTATTATTACTATTGGATACTACTTATAATATCCACTTTTGTGTTACTCATTGTGATAATGATGTGATGTGGTAAATTATAGAGATATACATTTAAGCAATAGGTTTTATGTTGACTATTACCGACTAACTAATTTACTGATAAAATAAACTGAACTAGTTAAACTAATCATGTTCAGTTACATTTCCTTCATTAATCTTTAAAGTTTTTAGTTGCCTTATATCTAATTCCAGTTATATCATATGAATGATTGTTATCAAAGTATACATCCCAGATACCCTCGTATATAATGATCGACCTAATTCGCGTTAGAGAATGACGTAACTAAATGAGAATGAAGTTTGAATACTTATATTTCGTACACTAATCTCAGCCTCCAAATGCCCTGGTACGGCCGAGAGTGGGGAGAGTCCGCTCTCCATCTCAAAATGCTCTCATATGGCCACACGTAAATATAGTCTCTGTCAGGGAAGTCCTACTCACTGCATTCTCGTAGCATTACTGTTGTTTACGAAATTGAAAGGACGAAAACCAAATGTCCGGCGATTTAACCGAGTTGATGGATACGGCGTGTCCACCTAGGGGAGTAGGAAAACCCTGATTCCAAACCAATGGTGCACATGGACTCCAGTATCCTGAAGGGACAAGTGGCGTATGAATCAATCGTTGGTCACTGGCTACCATGGAACTGCATCTACTCACGATGCTCCACTAGCAGTGGAATCCAGGACGCAAGTTTCGTCCTATTTGGGACTCGTCAGCTGGGTGTACCTGCATCTCAGAGTTGATGTTCACTCTGGAACTCGAATCCAGTACCTTCCGCTTCAAACGCCATCGCGTTATCCATTGAACGAAAGGTACTGGGTTCAAGTCCTAGAGTGAACATCAACTCTGAGATGCAGGCACATCCAGCTGACGAGCCCCAAATGGGACGAAAAGCGCGTCCTGGATTTCACTGCTAGCCACTACCCATCTTTGCTCAATGATAAATTATGTTTTTTTCCGCTTCTAAATTTGCTGAATGAATGTACGTATATAATAATTGCAAAATCTATTAACTGAATGTAAACGAAACCAACACAACAACAGCTTACATTCTATTATCAATATGAAAAGGTATCTTAGTTACACAGAGTGATTTATCAAACTTTTTAAAAAATTATCTATGTACTTACGCGCCTGTAAGTAATTCAAAGGTTAAAATACCTAATGACCAATAATCTGCAGCGAAATCATGTCCCTGATTAAGAATTACTTCTGGTGCAACATATTCTGGTGTACCACAGAATGTCCATGTTTTTTGACCAATTCCAATGTATTTAGCAAATCCGAAATCGCACTAAATAGTTCACAAATATAATAATGATAATAATAATAATACAGTTGTTTACCGTGATACTCTATATACTAATTATAGTTTGATTCTCTTAAATTACTAATCAGTAATAAAATCTATGGGTAGTCGATAAAAAGTTTTAGTTCTATTAAGGTTCATTGCCAGTTGGAACTCATCAACAAGTGGGGTATTACTTGAAATTCTGAAGGGGACTTATACACCCTGCGAAATTCAAATTCACGTCAACCTGTGTCGTAAACAACAAAAATAGAACTATTATGCTACTTGGATCCCAAGTGATTCCCTTGAGGACCCAAATATTCATCCCTCAATGGATCGGTCTAATTTAATCAATACTTAGAACCAGATAAAGATCCCAACTGATTCCCTTGAGGACCCAAATATTCATCCCTCAATGGATCAGTCTAGCCTAATCAGTACTTAGAGCCAGATAAAGATCACATTGATTACTATTTAATTTTATGATCTATTAAATTTCTGGAGTAGCGGGCAGTGACAATGTATATTCTTTAGTTGATGTCCCGATTGGACATAAAACCATTTATTAGCTAAATCTTTCTTTACAAGAATCCAAGCAAAAATCGTGTTCAAACGTCTGAATTTATTCTAGAAAACAGCCAGAACATCTTAGTAGTAACATCTCTCTTACTGTAGAACATGGTGATACAGACTCGAACTTCATAAATAAATACCAGTTTTCCTTAAGATTATAAGTAAAATGCCTTGTTGACAAGTGCCAACTAGAACAAAACTTAAATTAAACAGGGCGCCCTGGCAACTGTCTCCAACCTTTTGACATGAATACCAAACTGTAAAACTATCTCAGTTCATATTTGTGTTACCGAGATTCATAAACCCTTTGAAAGATACATTTATATTAATTTCTTGATATCATCTGCGTTTGTAACCAATAGTTCGAGGACATTAGTTTATTATTTATAGACGACAGAAGTCATGCAGTAGCTCTAATTGGGGTGCTATAGAAAATCAGGGAACACTGAACTGCAGTTTCGCACTAATCGGTCTTATATCAATCCGTTTTGAATATCATATTCAAATGAAACTAATCTTAATACTCCTCAATCACAACATGAATGCCTGCTTGGAGATGAATACACTAAATCCTATTGAGAAATTGTAACCGACGAGGTTTATCAGTCTCAAGAGTAAGACAATAACCAGAGAATGCAATAGATGGTTTTAGGGTCAAAGATATGAATCGCAGACGAGTTTTATATCACAGAGAAACGTTTATCCAGTGTTCCATAATCTCTAATGGCATTCTATTCACTATCGATCCGTAGGCTGAATTATTTATCTATTATTATTATTACTATTATTATTATTATTATTATTAGCTTGATTCAATATTATATTATTTGGTACAAAATCGAATTCTCAGCATAAAGTATTTCAACATATTTACGTTTCTTATTTCTTCGTTGCTCCTGATGATAAACATTCAGTGATCGCCAGTTGGATGTCAGCAGTTCAGTCAATCGACATATGAATAATGTATATTCTTTTTGCTGCATGTTCCCAGCAAACACGACATCTCTGATTAGACCTTTTCTAACTTTTACAGCGAAAGGTTGTACAGTTTTCAGAAACGCACCGGAATAGGTTGTGTGCTTAATAGCCATAATGATGTATTAAAACAAACAATATTAGATAACTTGTTGAAATATATAGATGACGGGAAACAGGTAGCCCAGATGTTTAAGCAGGCCGCCCATCTATAAAAAACTAACTTACTAATTTAATGTAACCTTTGGATGTAACCAGCATATTCTCTGGTTTTAAATCACGATAAACAATTCCATGACGATGTAAATAATCCAATGCCTCAATACAACATGCCAAACAAAATCTTGTTGTACGTTCTTCAAGATGATGACTATTAGGAAGAAAACAAGCAGAAAAAATAGTTACTCCTCACAATCTAATGTTCATCAATAATAACATAGAATACATGGTGTTGAATTGAATATAATGAATGTGTATTAACAGTTAGCTAGTGATACTAATTAGTTGCCTTAACTAAAGTAAAAAGAATAAGATTCGCATATGCGACCTACTTGGTTGAAAGCTGAGTGTTCTGTCCATAAATTCATGACTACTAGGAATAAGACTTTTGTAGGCTATTAGTATTTGATCATAGGTGGCTTCGAACTATTTCTGGACATTGAGTTAGCTATTTTGAGGTTAGATGGAGAGTGATAGGTAAGGATTGTGTTAGAGGAATATGGGTTGAATTAAAGCACGTCCCGTGTATGGTTGCGTCGAGGCATGCTGGTTGGCTACTTATCATCTAATCAGCGCTAGTGCATATTTGGATAAGATTCTAGAATCTTCTCATGTAAAAACTATATATATATACTAACGTTTTTCTTATTGTGCTTCCCATTTCCACCTATCCTTGTTATTTGGAATGCAATTTCGTTCCTGTTCAACCGTGTTGTGAATTGGGAACGTGTCGAGTAAAGTAGTGTCCAAGAATACTGGGCAATAGGAATAGTTAGGTCGTAATAAGAGAAATTGTAACATATAGGCAATCGACTGATAAGATTATGAATCTTTATCTACTGAGATGATTAGGAAATACATTAAGTATTCCCAGCTGCGCACTACCTCGACGTACAATGGTGACTAATGTGGAAGTAGGTTGGAAGAAAACTAGAGACGTTGAAAACAACATATGGCATCAGGTAGGTATAGACTAAATGCTCCACGCAATTATCGTAACCAATAGTTAGACGCTTTGAATACGAATAATTGGTTAAGATTGTGACTCTTCATCGACTGAGGTGATTGGGATATGCATTACGTAAACCCCACAACCCTCCATCTAGATCTCTAAGGTTGACTAGTTTGAGAATAAGTTAGAAGTAAGTTAAGGGGCCTGTCAAATTAAGACATGGCATCAGTCTATGTTAACAATGACTGTTGATCTTAGCTATGTTGGTAAGTCTAGACTGATTGGTCGAGGTTGACGCAATTGTCGTGGCCAATAATGATTGGAAACACTGATTGACTTGGTTGGTGCAGATGCATTCACTTCTTATCTTCAAAATTCCTTTGGAAATTTTGTCCATTCTTTCTTTGAACATCCTTCATGTTTATATATATTCTTCATTAACCCTGACATAACTTGCGCTACTTCTATTGGTTCGGTATACATCTCAATAAGAATGAGACTGTAATACCTTTTTCAGAGAAAAAAAAAAGAATAAAAAGCGATCAAACGCTAAAACACAAACAACAAATAATCACAACGAATAGAGTACAAATAAAAAGAGATATAGAGAGATCATATTTTTCTGTGTTTCACATTAATGACTTACCTATCACGAAGGATAGTCCATAATTCACCGCCTAAACATGCTTCTAATAACATGTATACATATTTATTATCACGATATGTATTGAATAGTCTTGACAGAAAAGAGAAAAAGAGTAAATATATGAACTAAGGACTATAAAATATCCCTGAAGGTCATGTTCTTGCTGCTATATAGATAGAGTTGTACCATTTTATCCTGTTCTATCTCGAATATCAAGTACAACTCATTTTCTACATGTATTAGTGAGCAAATCTTAAAGTTTTGTGCACTTGGTGTCATTGTCGATTTACACAATAAAACTGATTGTATAAAAGTAGTAGACTAACTAATCGCTTCTTATTCCGCAGGTACTGCAGATCCGTACAGATAATCTATGATACTAATTAATTGAGCAATAGTTGAAAAGGCTTTCAGAGAAAGACGAAAAGTAGATGATCACTACTGAAACGTTTATTTATACATTTGCTATATTCTCAAGCCAAATGGATAAACATGTAAGAGTTTGAATTTTTCTATTGTTGTGGTTATCAGGAAATGCGACTGATTAATCTCTATTGTGTCATATATGCATCATGAATGGATTGCCCAGATATTCCATTCAATTATAAGTTTTCAAACTATTTGGATCAAAGGCTAGCAGTGAAATTTAAGACGTGCGTCGTTTCCAGGATTGAAAAGCTCAACAAAACTCGGTAAAGTATTGTACATAAACGAACTAATCGGAATCGAGAATGAGACTTCTAGGTATTTGCATCAAGTTCAAATAGAACTTTTAACGAACAGTAGAAATATCTCTCTTTACTGCTCTAAATAATTAAAATGATAGAGAAAAATAACTTTTTCCTACCATAGAATGAAAATGATAAGCGTGGAGATTGCATGTAACAGAAGAATCAACACTCCCTAAAATCGAAGCTAAACCACTATGGAAAACCTGTAAGCACTGGGATTCCTCAGCAGTGCGCATCCACTACCCCGCCTCGCGAGATTCGAACACAGGACCTATCAGTCTCGCGCGCGATCACTTAACCGATAGACCACTGAGCCGTCTTTCAACGGTGTTAATATACAGTGCTTCCACGTTTTCCATCGTGGTCTAGCTTTAATTGACTCATGATTTCAACTATATATCAAAAACTCCCTAAAATCCTTAATCATTTAGTTATGAAACAAACCTTAACTTAGTAGTGATACTATATTTTTTAATACATTTTAAATTTACGCTCCATGCATCCATATTAGCTAGTAGGCATGTTTCCTTTATAGTTGATGTTAGTTTATGCTAAAAACCCTGGACTTAGACTCTTAATCCTAATCTATAAACACTATGCAAAAACAGTGTGAAGACTTTTAGAGATTTATTTAGGTCTTTTTTGTAATGATTCTAGATGAAAAGTGATCTTTGTCCATAGAACGAATTATCATATTTTCTTTTTCATTTACAAGTACAGTGATATGAAAAGTTCAATAGGTTCATTAATTTCTGTTTACTGATTGGTTGGAAACTAGCTGAAAACTTTTCACGACCGTCTGACTTTATATTGTACTTTTACGAGAAAACCTACAATCGTAATACTGATCCTGACTAAAGACAACCTATTCTCATGAATGTAATTTTTAATTATCTATACAAATCGAAAAATATTGACTTTTAAGCAGAGATGGATAGTGGCTAGCAGTGGAATCCAGTTCGACGCGTGTTTCGTCCTATTTGGGACTCGTCAGGTGGATGTACCTGCATCTCAGAGTTGATGTTCACCAGTTGCAGTCCTAACACATCGATGGGAAGACTCAAACAAGCAATACTAAATGAATTTAAACTTCACCCCATTTCACAAGCAAGTGGCTATCAGGACTCAGTAGCTGAGTGGATAACACGATGGCGTTTGAAGTGAAAGGTACTGGGTTCGAGGCCCAGATTGAACATCAACTCTGAGATGCAGGTACATCCAGCTATCGAGTCCCAAATAGGACGAAACACGCGTCAAACTGGATTCCACTGCTAACCACTATCCATCTCTGCTAACCATGCTTGTGAATTAAGGTATATCGAGGCAATACGCACAGTATGTACATATGCCAATTAGAGACTGACCAGTTGCAGTCCTAACACATCGATGGGAAGATTAAAACAAGCAATACTAAATGAATTTAATATTGACTTTTGTTTGAAACTCCTAACAGATACCTAATTTGTCTTCTGGTTTCAACTTTGGATACATGATAGTTATGTACCAAACAATTGTGGATTACAAAAATATACAATATTTAACATACTTTACATATACTTCCAATGACTAATCACTGATTATAGTAATTAATATAATATTTGTCTAGTTCTTAGTATTAATCAACTCCTACTAAACAAGTTACAATGAAAATAGAACGATTCAAAAAGATTAGACATAGGTTTCATTCCTCTTTCATTATCAAGTTCACTAACCCTGTAACCGGCTGGACTGGCTCGACCGGCTAGACAAAATTTTGTATTTACGGGGCATACACTTTTAGTTATCATTAGTACTGAACAAGTTCGGAAAATATTCAGAACTTTGGTGTCCAAGGATTTTTTTTAATACTAAAAATAAAAGTACTGTGTCATTTCTAATAACATTATCACGTTACTTGTCACACTGAAATGGAATTTTAATTGAAACGTTCTCATAGATTATTAACAGTTTGACGAACATTTCAATGAAAATAAATGAACTATAATACAGTGGGCAAGAACTAGATTAGATAGGCAGATTTTCACTTAATAACTTGATAAATATACCTCTTGATTGAGATCACGAACTGGTCAATGTTAAACCAATATTAAAAACGTTGAGGCATGGAAGAGACATTTCGTCCTAGTATGGGACTTCTCTTTAGCAGTCCACGATCACACACCAAACGAATTCGAACCAAAGATTTTCGGTCTGGCACACGAACACTTAACCTCTAAACCATTTAGTCAGTCAGCATCCAATGGTGTTAATGTCTAACTTCAACCAATCCATGATATTGTGAGACCATCTTCCATTGTCTTTAGTAGCCAACTGACTCACATCCGATAAGGATTAGTTCCACTGGTCACGACTCCTCACTAGAACTCTAAGAGTTGCCTCTCGAAGTTAGTCACTATTGGATTCTAGTTCAGTGATTTAGAAGTTAAGTGTGCGTTTTCGAGACCGAAGGCCTTGGGTTCGAATCCCTTTGGTGTGTCGTTGTGGATATATACTTCTGAGGAGTTCTATGCTATGATGAAAGGGTCGTCCATTTCTTTCAGGTTTTCAATGGTGGTCTATCGTTGATCGCTTCATGAGCCCAATTATAACTCAACCATCTCTACAACTTTATACTGATAAATTTACATCTATTGTAGTTCATTTGTTATGTTTAATAATTTTATGCCATATGACTGGGAAAAATTAGATTGTTTTAGGGGATCGAGATATTTTAAGATGAATTCATTTGGTAGCTTGTATGTAATCGTCAATCAGACAGATTTAAAAATCAACCCACGATAATGACTTCAAATTAAATTACAGACATACACGTAACGCTTCCTTTCTATTATAAAAATAGGATATATAAGGGATACTTAGTAGATAAGGTTCAATGATTGATAGTTAAAGCACTTGTGGGGGTCAACAAAAATGCCTCATGTTCAATCTCTGGCGTCCTTTACTTCGATAAGTGCAGTCAGATAGTAAACACTACCCATCAGACTTGCAGAAAAATATCAAGTATGGCTCATAGTCGAGTATATAAATGTGTACTCAGAAAATGAGTTACACTCAATTTGTTATCGACAAACAAAATGATAAAAGACTGTAATCAAGGAATTTCAATCATATTATGTGCGTATAGGACAGCCTTCACCAATATTAATGTTGATGTCTGCAAAACATCCTCAATTAACTGAACATCGAAAAGTGAATCCATGGAATGCCAACATAATGTCTTTGACGTGAGATCTGAAGCTCGTGAGGTTCGATCCTTTTACGGAGCCATAGGTATGTACTACTATGATGTATGCTACTTAAGTATGCTACATAAGTAGTATGTAAACCAACCAAATGTTGAATGGCTGAACGCAGAAAGTTAAGAAGATCGAGTCGAAGAAAACAGCAGAACTAGAAAGAAATTGTAAACTAGAAGAATCAAACAGAACGTGAAATTCGCGAATGAAATATTTTATTATCAGAAAGGGTTTTTGTGGAGATTTAGTATTTTTATAGTGGATTAGTTGGAGTTAGACATAAATACCATCGGATGCCGGCCAGCTCAGTGGTCTATCGGTTAAGGGCTCTGGCGCGAGATTGGTAGGTCCTGAGTTCCGATCTCGCGAGGTGAGGTCGAGGATTCGCACTACTGAGGAATCCCACAATAAGACTAAATGACCGTCCAGTGCTTCTAGGTTTTCCTTGGTGGTCTAGCTTCAATTGTCTCATATTTTACCAGGTTATTTTGTAATTTTATACCATAATACATTGGTTGTCCCTACATGTGTTCTTGTTTATTACCCTATCACTATCTAGCCAGTTGGTTCACTATGCAAAATAACAAAATAAATGATATATGTAAATATAGATGTAAAGGAAGAATCTATGAACTATAAGATTATTGGATATGGCAACTATATATTTTTCAAAGTTGAAACCATGAATCAATTGAAGCTAGACCACCACGGAAAACCTGGAAGAACTGGACGGCCGTTTCATCAATTGTGGGACTCCTCAGCGGTGCGCGTTCACGATCCCGCACTCGCGAGATTCTAACACAGGACCTACCAGTCTCGAACTAGAGCTCTTAACCGATAGACCGCTGAGCCGGCCGGCATCCAACGGTGTTAATGTCTAAATTCAATCGATCCACGAACTATATATGTAGTGAATTCAATGTAAATCCAATTTTTTTAATGATAAACCTCAAAGATTATCATGGACAATCATCATCATCATCATCATCATTATAATTCTAATGTCATCTAATCTTTATTTGTCAATGGAATATTGATTTTATAACCAATTTAACTAGGAAAGGTTACTGAAATGAAGTCAATAAAAATGATACATACCTATAGATGGTATAAGAGAAAGGCA